CACTGATTTCTCTAATGAGCCAATTACTACCACATAAACTTCAGACATTCTTGAAACAACTGAACACTCTTTTAATGATGCCAGCAGTCTCAAACAAATAGCTGTACCGTAGTCATTTTGGGGCTGTCTACTACCAGCGTGTTATACTTACATCATAAAGAAAACACAAAGAAACACTCATAGGATGGGATACAATTTCCAGACATAGAGCTACATATGTCAATGTTAGCTTCACTGGAGGAAAAAAAATCCAAAAATGTTTTTGGGTTAAAGTGTGTTCTTTTTAAATGCGTTCCATTTTCATACTTGTCTGCCAGTTTTAAAAATGAACTTGAAGGCTTGAGAAGCAAAAATCTATCCTGCTGCTTGTCAGAAAGATGGCTCACATGGCCAAAACTGGTGCTGGTCAGGAGCTTGTCCAGCTAAGTGATTTGGGGCAGATAGGAAAATGCCAATTTGCAAAAAACCCAAGCCAAACCAAACCAAAACACCAAAATAACTGAATGGCATATCTTCATTTGGAGATGGCACAGAGTACACAGAGCAAGCCTGGATTATACCTTGCTTTGTGTTACTGCACTACCATCTTCTTCCAGGGCAAAATGTTTAGAATGAGCCAGTACAGTGGGCAAGTCAGAAGACAACTGGCTGGAAAAAATGCGTCAGTTTGTCATAAACCACTCTGTAACTCTTAGTGTGTAGAAACCTCCTGTAGTGTTACACTGGAAGTGGTGGTATTACACATATCTCACACTTTTTATGGAGACCTTTCACGTATATGTACTGACCGTGCATGTGGGAGTTTTAAAAAAATCAGTGGAACTACTAGCAACTGCTAAAGTTTCCCCTGTGCAATCTGTGCAGGGAGTGGCCCATGCCCACTAGGCTGTCAGTACTAAACTGGCACAAACTAAATCACTTGTATGTCTTGACCATCCAGTCTGCTATAGGTTTTCCTGGTTACTGAAGTTCCAACCTTTTTTTTTCTGGTAATGAAAAATGATCCATCATGTAGTTTTCAATCAGTTGTAGTGGGCACCAGTAAGGTGTCTACTTAAGCAAAGAGGATGTTCCTTCAAAGTAACTTCTCCCTTTTCATTTCCAGAACCTCAGAGAGCTGTATAAAGTAATATTAATATGCAAGAGGAAATACAATTCCTCAGTACACTATTTCTCAGTGAACTAGTAAAGGGCTGAAAAATGCTGGTTTATTGCCAAAGAAAATATGCATGGCCTTCATTACACTGGTGTTAAAAGGACCCACTTAATATGGAGGGCTTACCAGCAACACCATGAAATGCATTATGTTAACATAATGTTATATAAATAATTTCTCTCCTCTGTCAAGCTGGCAACTCAGTAAGATGTCAAAACTTTGCACAGACAGGCTTAGCATCTTGAATCCCTTCTCTTACAGCCCAATATCCCTGCCAAAAGCCAATCTCTGAAATAATGAGATGCTTTAGACCCTGGCTACATAGCAAACTTCCCACAAGGAAACCCTAACTGGTGGCAGCAGCTGCCCCCAAAATAGCACACGGGAAGGAAGGCAGCATACTATCTTCTATTTCCAGATCACAACAAAAACACCAAATGGAGGAATACTGTACTGAGCAAGGTTTGAGGCAGCATTATAAGTGCAACCAGAATATAGTTTCAAATCCCTTTGGTTAAGTCAACTTATTTCTTGGTTCTTACTGCTACCTGTACAGGGGAGTGATAGGAACTGTTGGTGAGGATTTTGCAGACATTCATGGGAATGTGGTGGGGTGATGACTTAGGGACTCAGAGCTTGCAACCATGAGTTTGAGCGGTTTGGCTCAGCAAGTCATTCCCACGGAGGGCTGTGTTAGCCCCTGTCGGGTAGCAGTAGTGGGGAGCTGGTGCTGAAGCAATGAAGCATGAGTCAGGTACGTGAAATGGTCTGTTTTGATATTTTAAATAAGTGGAGGCTGCTGTTTGTGAAGAGCTGTGTGTGCAGACTGCAAATAGTCTCTATCACCGTTGGAAATGTGGTCACTGTGTTTCTACCACCACCTGTTTCCTTCCTTCTGACTTCTGGTACTCCTCCTTATTTCATTGGGCTTTTTGTTCCCTGTTCCTTCCTGGGCTTTGACAGCCCATGGCAGATAGTTATGTCATCTTCTTTAGCCCCATACACACGGCATGTGGAAGAAATTCAGTCCCCTGAGAGCTGTTTCTGTTTTTCATCTGTCGAGCATCAGTAACTTGTATTTGTGTCTCCTGTAGGCAGTCTGTGATAGGCGTGAAGCTGCTGGGTAGCAGCTGCAGGTCCTAGGAGGCTGCCTGTCTTCCACTGGACTCCTTCTCTTCCTCCTGCTAGGCAGGTTGTGCATCTGTGGGTCAGAGAAGAATAATCAGGATTTGAAACATGTTCAGTGGAAACTTGGAACATAAAATTTGGCAACATCACACAGGCAATTGGTGCTACAATCTGACTAACTGCACTCTCTCGGGCACTCTGCCAGTCTCTGCTGTGGCCTTTGCATATTTTCAGGCACAGACAAGTTAAAATGCAAAAAATATTTTGCAGTCTGCCACCAGGAGCACCTGAAAGGTTGTGTGAAGCCCTTTAATTCAGAACTTTAAAGCATGGTAAGTAAAGCCTTCTTTTTTCTTTTTTTCCCAATATCTGCAGAGAGGGCATTTCAGAGGTTCTGAACCCAGCATGGCTGGCTCTATTTCCAGGCAAAGGCAAGAAATTTATCTGGTATGTTTTCAAATAGCTGCCCCAAACACTCCCTTCAATAAAAGTCTCATGTGGAAAATCCAGCTACATCTTTCACCTGGAAATTTGATAGTTATACTTTAAATTTTCTTAAAAACTATCAAAGCTTAAAATAAAATGTTGGATGTCTAGAAAATATTTCTTCATCCAGCTGGCAAAGCCAAAAAACTTTGACCAGCACTGTCAGGAAAACAAGTGAGCAACTAGAAAAGCAGCTCTGGGGGCTGAAGAAACATTCCAAGCAAAGAAATATGAGAGCCAAATGTACTAATGGTCCAAGGTTTATAATACTGACTCAATAAAGAAGCCTCAACTGTAAACATGTTGAAGAAGTGACCAACTGATACTGGTGAATTAAATTAACTTGAAAGCACGGATTCAGCTTATAAAATCAGCAACAGCTGATCCCTGGCACAGAGTTGCCATGGCTGGTGAGCCATTACTCTAAGTATTTATTTTCATTGTAACAGGGAGTAAAGGTAAACAGGACAGGGCTCCTGTATCAGTGGTGGAGTGCTGCTCCTGAGATACTAACAACCTGATAATGAATAGTGCCTTGCTTCCAGGCCACTCAGTAATTTCATGGCAATTCTAGCTATTCCGATCATATTTGCATTTCCCATCTTTCTGGAACAGAATGAGCCTCTACTGCTGGTCATCCAACTCATCCCTACTCCCTATCAACGAACACATGCCTCCATAGGCTGCTGCATTACCTCCCTCCTCCTGTCCCTTAGATTTCCCAGTTTTTAGGATTGTACCTGTTGAATGCTATGCATTCTCTGCTTCTTCCTCCAGCATCTTCTGCTCCTCATTGCTGAGGTCCAGAGGCTTCAGCTCTGTGGAATGAGCCAGAAGGTGTAAGGCATCTGGTGCGGTTCTTGGAGAAGATGAAGCTGAAGTCTTCCAGGTCACACAGCTTCTTATTGCCGTGGTAGTGGCTGATGCTTGGGTTGATATCACATTTCTCCAGCCTCTCAGGAACAGGCAAATCCTGTGGCTGCCTTACTTTATGTCCAGTTCATATCTGCTTGTGTATTTTCTTTCCTCCAGAGTATACTCAGTGAGCTGGTCCCAGTTTGACATAAAGTGCTCTTAGTAACTACTTCTCTTACAGATTAATTATTCAACAGAAGTGGATGATGACTAGTGCTAGCAGAGAGTAAACCTGGTATTTTAATGAGGATGCACCTACTTGCTTTGAGTTTTGTACTGTGTAATAAGTAGCAAGGGGATAGGTAGAGAGTGAGTACACAGGCAATGCCACCGAGTTGTGACAATCAATCCTACCAAGCACGCTTTGAAGTCCTGCTAAACCCAGTTGGGCAGATACTGCCAGTTGATCATCACTACCTAAGACTGAGCTATCAGCTTCATGCAACCTTGACAAAGCTTTGCTCACACACCTGACTGACAGAGATCAGCAACATGTTTTGCTGCCAGGCAGGAGAGTCCTGGGGGTGGAATCTGTCACTTAATAACCTGTTTAAACAGTAATAAAAATTGCTTGGATGGGGATGATACCAGCCCAAGAGATTTAATCTCTTATGCATCTCCTGTTGCACTTACACATGAAATCTTAAACCTACAGATTAATCAGTTTGGAGAACAGGCAAGGGAAGGAAATTAAAAGACATATTAATTAGACGTGAAGTGACCTTACCTATTAAGGTATGAAATACAGCAGCTACAGCGCCAGCCACAACCATGCACAAAACTGCTTTGGTCCTGTCTCGCTTGCTGTTCACAAACACTAGACCTACATTTTTGAAGTCACTCATCGGACCTGTGAAGAACTTCATCAGGGAGTATGCCAGCCCATAGCTGGCCAGCATTTCCACAGCATCTTCCTTGACAGCAGCGATGCCCCTATTCAAGGCCTGTTGAAACACAGAAAGAGAAAATAATTTAGCAGATGTGGAAGTGTACCAAAACCAATCATCTTCTGCAGCTGGTTTCTGAAGGAACAAGAAAGTTCAGCTCTCATTGTTTTCACCCCAAGCTGGACCTTTATTCTCTGTGTTCAGCAGCAGTAACTTGTGACTTGTGACACAGGCAACTTCGTAATTTCATACGGACAGTAAATTCAAGTCAAGTAGACTTGAAGATAAGGTAAATTCCTGTTTCTGAAGTGTATAATGGAACTCCTGCTGTACCAGAAGTCAGTCTCTTTCCATTTTAGAGTAATTTTGTGATCCGCTGATAATCATGGATGATACAAGACCACTTAAATGCCTTTTAAGGCCTCAGCCCTGAATTGAACAAAGCACAGTCCTTTCAGGCCATCTTGGCAAGTAAAAACTCTGACATTACTATATGCTGAAATTTCAGGAGCTCAAACTTTTTTTCAGTGTAATGAGCTTTTCGCTACATCCTATGTAACTGTTGTGGATAACCGACATTATCCTATGACGTTTATTATGAAACTAGGCCAAATATGCACGTGAGTAAATGTAACTGTTCTTCTTTCAGGTGTTTCATAAGGTTCCGATCCTATACTCATTCGTATCTACTTGTAGCATATTTTAAAAGAAATACAGCACATGTATTTCAAGACATATTCAGGTTCAACTAACCTACTACTTCATTCTAGGTCTGTATTTAGGAAATTTCTACCAATGAATCACTGAGAATTAGATGGATTACTTTTATAACTAAGGTGAACCACAGAAAATATGTGTAACATTGCTTCAGATTCCAGCTTGCACCAAAATGCTTGTAAAACATTGAATAAAACTGACAGAATGACCAATTTTATCTGCAGTGTGACAGCATCAATCACCTGGTACACCCAGCAAACTGTTAAAACAAGATGAGATTCAAAAAAGCATGAAGGATGAGATACGACTTGTTTTCACAAGTATTTAGTTCCTATGGGTTACAGCTGATGTGTGCTGACAGGGCTGTGGCAATGAGGCCAACCAGGAACATCTCTCCATCCTACCCTCCAAATCTCAGTCTATCCACTTACATAGCAGTTCCAATACCACTTTTTCTGAATGAACAAACCCGGCAGAGTATCATTAGGTAATCGTGGTGAAGTCCTTCCATTTCAAATGTAAGCATAGTCTTTTTGTTGCAGTCTTTTGATTTTTTTTTCCTTTCCAAAGACCATATAAGCAAGCAACTCCTATTGACTTCAGAAGAAACCACATCCCCATAGCAGAAATGAACATTTTTCCTGCTGTTCTTTTCCACTCCTGTGATACGTGCTTAATTTTTTAAACTAAAGCTGCACTGTCAACATAGCAAAAAGCTGTAGGAAATACAAACTTCTCCATCCCTGGTATCTATCAAATGTCTCTCTTGCAATGTGCTCTGACCTGAACAGCCAAGGCAACAAATGTTTTCATCTGTCTTCTTCCAGTTTGTCCCTTCCTGAAAATACCACGGGTTGGATATGGAATATCTGCAGACTCTATATGCAACCTTCTCTGGGGTATAGATAATTCCAACTATTGCATCAATAAAAGTTCAAATTATATTTAATCTGCAGATGCCATACTCAAATGTGGAAAAGACTGTGGCCCCTGAAATGAATAGTCAAGTTTAGCTGTCTTACGTGATGATATTGTAACCAATATCAAGGTGTTCACAGAGTTACAATCTTTTCATTTAAACTTCCTAAGGATGCTGAATCTCCTTGTTGCTGTTGCCAGTAATAGGCAAATAGTGTTAGATTATGCCGTTTAGAGGGTTCCTTGACCATGGCTTTTCCCCCTATTTTTCTTTTGTCAGCAGTGAAATATTTCTGTCAGCTTCACTTTAAAGAGAAACAGCTAACCAGTTTCAGGTAGTTTGGTTTAAAATCTGCTCATCACATGTAAACAGCTGAATTATTTCCAGCAGTTTCACAAGCGCAAGTGCTTCCTTCCTAGTTTGGACAGCTACTGAATACCAGAGGATGGTGGAGGATGGTGATCCACTTCTGACAAGGCCCTTAGTACAATCATAGCTTTAAGAAATCACATTCAGTCAAGAGGCATGGCACTATGATCCCTCTGCAGAGAGATAAATCTTTGCCGAGCACAGTCCTCAAGTCAGTGAAACTAGCTCCGTGTGTCTTTGGCCCTGGAGTAGCTAAGTTTTCCACCTAAGAAGGACAGACAGAAAGACTTGAGCACCCCTCTTTCTCTCCCTCTCTGGTTTTACAGGCTGAACTCTGATCTCTTTTGTATGAACAAATGACAGCCAAGTAGGTACTTCTGAGTAATCTTCCCCAGAGACGCACTGTGTACCACATTAAGGTAAACTGGCAAAATCCAAAAGGGACTTTTGTAAGAGGTATGTTGCCTCTGGATTTATACTCCTGTGGAATGGTTGGCTAACATGATGAAATAAATATTCCAGAGGCTAGCCCTGAAAAAGCAATCCTTCTGAATGCTTCTTTGGAAAGATCCTTAGGAAATGAACAATCAATAGGACCGTGTACAGATGGTTTAGCTTCTGTAGCTTTCTTTTTCCTTTTTCACTTTAAGATGACAATGCAAAAGGTTTTTCATCCTGAACTTCCAAACACTACATGAGAACTTGTGTAGCTTTTCTACCCCATGTGCCTTAGACTAGTTTTGCTACTGAAGCTGTTGATGTCATATTTGATATCCTTAAATCCACAAGAAATCCTTGATAAAGCTGCCAATAAAGGGTGCAATATGAAAGACACAGGCATTTGATCCTTAACGGCATGCCAGCCATGCAGTTGGTAATCTTTCAGTCTAATTTCCTGTTAGATTTCCAATTAAATCCTCATAAAGGAAGAAAAATATGAACCAGAGCAAGGTCTCATTTTTTTTTATCTGACTATTTTGTATACTTTTTGTGTGAACAAAAATCAATAACAAAACTTCATCAGTAGCATTTGTATTCTATGTTTGTTTCATACACAACAGGGCATATCTCTACAAAGATCTATGTAGCTTGTCAATTAAATAACACAGAAGTAGGTAGTAGTAGTAATAATAATAATAATAATAATAATGACAATACTTAATAGGAGAAGTTAGCTTGATAATACATATTTCAGATGTCATCCTACTTCCATCTGGGTTATTCACACCAAACTTGAAGGGAGAACTAGGAGATCCAGATGCTGGAAGAAAGACTATTGGTGACGGTACCTACTCCTGAGTTTTTAATGAACAGCTAACCTAATACGGTATCAGGTAAAGATGTCACAGTAAATTGCTATTCATCAAATATGATTAAAACAAAGCTACTGACATTTCTGACCCTTCTTTTAGAAATAACAGAAAAAAAGCACAGAGTACTTCTAGACTGAGCACGATCAGGTAGGTGTACATGAATAGACTAGCTGAACTAAGTCACACTGAAAAAGGCAGGCACCAAGACATAGAGCTACTTCTATGCAATATTGTCTTCTGTAACACATTATGGTACCATGGGAAAGACGACATCTTTACTAGAGGATGTGGTAACAACCCTCTGAGCCTTTTTTTAAAATGAATAATTGTGTGATTGTGATGTATATAACATTCAGTGAAAGCTAAGAGGACTAGCATTTTTAAATTCCTATTCTCAAGTCAGAGGAATAGCAAATAATACACATAATGACATTTCAAGCCAGTAACACATCTTTACAATTGGGTACTGCAGCTGGCTTTATCCTCTTAGAAGGAACATATGAGACCTCTAACAAATTTCTACAACATGATAATGGATGAATCCAACAAACTTCTGCATGCAAAGGCAGTGATTTAAAAAGCAACAATTGGGAGAAAAATGTAAAGGGTCTAGCTTGTTCTATTTTGCGTGAGCTTTCAGCACTGTTCACTAAAGTTGGTGGAAAAGGTTTGGTTCCAACCTACAGCTACACACCTCTGTTGCCAAAAATTCAAAGTCTGTCTCTTAGGCTGGTTCTAGAGTTTGACCATTTCTCACATGACCCTCCCCTGCCAGAGACTACTGCACGACTGATATTTTATTTTGTACTGGATCAAAAATCCACTGAGAAAGCCATGCTTATTGTATACATTTTCTTCTGCTTTAAAAAAATGTTTTATTACCTACTTACTGCATAGAGTATCAGTAGTCTGTATCTAAGGGCACATTTTCTACTTCATTTCAAGTTAACTATTGACTATGCAGTCAACACCTGACCAGTGCATGTGTTTCAAATAAGAGAAAGTAAAGCCCAAGAAATGTAATTCTTGTCAGTCCCCAGGTTTTATTATCCTGGAAAAGCAGACTGTGACCTAGTGGAAGCTGGCACACTTCTATGGCTTGTTTGAAGCTGGGATTCTGCCTGAGATGTTTTCAAGTCTGTTCCAGCTAGTTATCTACCTAAGGGTGACATCTCAAATCTGCTCAATTGAGCAGTAACTTGGCCAAATGTACGGTCAGTTCAGCAAACATTTGTAACATGTTCCCCCTCCCCTTACATCTTTCTTCCTACCTGCCCTCCCCTAAGAAAATGGAAGAAAAAGTATCCAGTTAAAGAGCAAGCTGACATAGGTGACAGTCTTTCTCCTGTATCAAATAATCTCTCTCCTGATGATTGTTGGCTGAGTTTTCATTTACTAAATCCTGTCACATTGAAATCTTCAGTATCAAATGTACCAGCTAGCTCTGACTGCTCTGCCTCCCCATCAGCGCTGCAGGAACTGCACTGCCAGGACACCTGACAGCTCCGAGGCTCTGTAAGCACGGCACCACCAGGCCACCATGTCGATGCCACCTGAGCCTTATGCCATCACCATCTCTCCTTCTTGATGGGTTTCTTGAACAGGCAGGAGCTACTGGTAGGCAATTTAAGGGAAACAGCTGGTGCTCTGACACAGGTCTGTGTAAGACTTCCACGGACATAGACACAGAAGTGGGAGAAAATGGGGCAAAAATAGCATGGGCACATTCATTCTGGCTCAAGAAGATTGCCCAAATACAGTGTATGAAGAGATAACCCCAAGAGGCAGAGAGAGTCTGACCTTGTAGCTTGACAGTG